ATTTCTTTGTGTGAAGAGCAGGAATTTCTTTCCAGAAAAGGAAACTTTGGTCCGACGTCTAAGTATTCATGATGGTGCTTCATATAGTCCCAATGAGGAAGACAGGACAATGCAATCAATGTCTCTTGTCCGTTCTTTTATATATACTGGTTTGGACGATACTCAATTGCCTTGTTATTATTATTTTGGTTGTCGATTGCTAAGAGTATTGGATATGCTTGGAATAGTGCTTACAAAGTTCCCTGATGAAATACTTCAACTAGTTAATTTGAGGTACATTGCTATCACCTGTCGCCATGAAATTCCTCCTTCTATTGTCTTACTTAAGAATCTACAGACTTTAGTTGTTGAAGGCCCTTGGAGAATTACATTTCACTTGCCATGGGAAATTTTTAATATGCCACAATTGAGGCATCTCAAACTCTCTCGAGTTTCCCTGCTTCTTGGTTTCTCTTCCTCATTAATGGATAGCGATAAATCTTTCGTTCTAGAAAACCTGCAGACTCTTTCAAAGGTAAAAGATTTAGGAATGTCAAAACACTTCCATGAAAAAATTCCAAATGTAAAGAAATTGGGAATTGTTTATAATGCCGCTACGTGGAATGCCTATGACGTCCATCTCCAAAAACTCGAAACACTAAAAATTTCCTTTGAATCACCAACAAATTCAATTTTCCTGCAAAGCATCACTTCTGCCCCAAGGCTCAAAAAGATAACTCTAGAATGTGGAAGAATTGATTGGGAATACATGGCGATTTTTGGTATGTTGCCCAATCTTGAAGTGCTGAAACTGCGCAAGTTTGCCTTCGTAGGCCCNTTTGAGGTACATTGCTATCACCTGTTGCCATGAAATTCCTCCTTCTATTGCCTTACTTAAGAAATTACAGACCTTAGTTGTTGAAGAACCACAGGGAATTGCAATTCACCTATCAGAAGAAATTTTTAATATGCCACAATTGAGGCATCTCAAATTCTCTCGAGTTTCCCTGCTGCCTTCTTCCTCTTCCCCATTAACGAATAGTGATAAATCTTTCGTTCTAGAAAACCTAGAGACACTCTCAAAGTTACAAGATTCAGGATTGGCAAAACACTTCCTTGAAAAAATTCCAAATGTAAAGAAATTGGGAATTATTTATAATGCTGATACGTGGAATGCCTATTACGATCGTCTCCATAAACTCGAAACACTAAAAATTTTCTTTGAAACGCGGACAAATTCAATTTTTCTGCGAAGCATCACTTCTTCTCCAAGGCTCAAAAAGATAACTCTAGAAAATGGCAGAATCGATTGGGAATACATGACGATTTTTGGTATGTTGCCCAATCTTGAAGTGCTGAAGTTGCGCGAGTTTGCCTTCGTAGGCCCAGAGTGGAGACCAACTGAAGGAGAATTTCTCAAACTAAAATTCTTGCTAATTTGGGAGACAGATTTGATGTACTGGACGGCGAACAGGACTCATTTTCCAAGGCTTGAGCACCTAATCCTCCGGAAGTGCTCAAAACTGGTAGAGATCCCATCTGATATTGGAGAAATACGGACGCTTGAAATAATCGAGATAGATAACTCCAGTCCTACCGCAGTGAAATCAGCAGAGCGTGTACTTGAGGACCAGCGGGACCAAGGAAATGAAGTCCTTGAAGTTCTTTTCCATCAAACAAAAGAAAGACTGTATCCGTTAAAATACGGGGTAAATCAATCCCTCATCCTTTCTTTTTCCTTTTTTGT